GCCCACTTATTTTGCTGAAGGCTGATCAGACCATGTTGAAAATACCTTGTTTGGTATCCAAAGATAAAATGAAGAAATAAAAAACAAAAAACTTAGAAGCTTGAAGACGCTTAAGGTAAATTTATTTTTCGTAAGTCAATACATTTTCTGTAAGACCAAAACTCTTGATGATGATCTGTACACGCAAAAATAACTTGGAATTATAAACTAATAAAAAGTATTGTACAGATAAAAGCAGGTATAGTATAAATTCAATTAAGAAACCTTTCAATTTGGGACAATTTTTTGATTGGTTACCCCCCAAAGACGCAAGGCATTATGGGGATGTGAAAGTAGAGAATGAAGACGGATTCACTGATGGTTTGAATTAAATTAATATGAAGATAGTTTAAGTGTTGTAATGTAAATTGTCTGATGGTTCTCTTACATTAGTTTGAAAGCAGCAGTAGTTTCAACGATTCTGGGTTCAGCTTATTTACAACTCAAATCCTTTCATTTTTCCATTCACTTCATCTTCCCACCATGGATAGTCATAGCGTTGTAAGATTTGTATGATATTTGATTTTAATGTTAACTGAACATTATGGCCCTTTTTCATAYATTTGTTTCATCGTTTTAATCTTAATCTTAATCCCTTTTCGAAGAGTGCTTTTTGAGTTACCGTAACCTAGAGTAATTTGGATAATGAACGTGTATAAACGCATCCACGGAAATTGCCTTCATATTTTTCTGTAAAAGTATGGATCCCATCCCCAGCTATCCCCCCCCCCCCCTCCCTTGTTTTTAAACCCACACCGTAAGTTAACCAATCATCAATAAGAATTATGTAGACATAAATGTAAACACTTGACTAGTAATAAAGCAAGCCAACTAAAAAAAAACAAAACGTTTTTACAACTGGTTTATGTAGCCCGTAATACAAAGGCATTGGTTTGTACACCTATTTCAAAAAAATGCTGTTCGTCGGAGATCTGAAATCTGAGACCGAAAGGAATTGTGTTTATGAATTGTGTAAGCTGTAATGATTGTTTGTGGTTTTAATAAGTAGTTCGCAGAAAGGTCAAATCTTGATATACTGACTTTGAGCGATGACCTGCGCTGGCAAACTAACTGGGTAAGTGTATATTGAATTTTGAACGAGAAAACACTCAGTCCCCCACAATTCCTGATTTCAGATATCCAACCAACAATATTTTCGAGAAAAACTGAATCATAACAACTTTGTTTTCCTTTTCCTAAAAAAGAAATTACTAGAACAATAAATTTGGAACGAATATTTAACCACGGTGTTTCAGTGATTTTTACCCGTATTACCTTTTAGCCCTAGACGCATAGGCTTAAGTTGTTAGACGACAAGTTTTTTGATTGACTATATGCGACTGCGCTCCATCGTTACCTGTGAATATTTGGGTGCTGTAACAGTAGAAAATGAATCATTTCTGACTTTGAGAATTACATCTAAATCATAGAGGACAAATGGTCTGCTTAGATTTTTATTTAATTTTACAAAAAAATTCATTCGCATCTTCTTGGAGAGCAACCACATGACTCAAAATCCTTCGAGATAAATTTATAATATTTGTGAATATACAAATTTAGGTACTGCCTAAGAGCGAAGCACAAACAATCTTGTATTGTCTCGGCGCTTTTTTGCAAAGTTTCAGGGGGGTCCCCTAGGGGGCCAAATTAGTGATTTTGACTACTTTCTCATAAATGAAATTTGGGCGATATGAGGGTCTTACAGAGACAGCCTCTTAAATATTATTGAGGAACACAGCGATAATTTGGAACTCGCGCAAAGGCTCTTGATGTTTATTAGTGTTTGGGCCTCCTGTGGAAGCGACTGGAGTCTCAAGGTTATTCAAGGGCAAGCTAGTCACGCTTTATCGTTCCGCCAATCAAAACAAGTCTTTGGTCTCCCTGTGGGGCAGACTAATCCAAACAAAGGGGCACGTTCGAACCTAAACTAGCTTCAATCGCATATTGCGAGTGGGTCATTTGTGGGAAATTTGTTATTTACTTTCCATCCTATCCAAGATGTCTGTGAAACGATTGAGTTTAAAGGTAGGTAGCAAAATGGGATGGTAAATATTTTGGCTACATTTTGATTTTATTGACCATTTGATTGATGATGCAGTTTGTATACAAAACACGTTCACTGTCAGAAAATATTCAGTCATGTGCGGTTTAAATAGAGAGTAGACTGATAGAAAGAATGGAAATATTTTTTCTTCTTTTATCAATTTGTATAATTTTGATACCTAATATCTCTGAGATTCTTTCCTTTACCCTCAAAAAGGTTTTATTTTAAGGCGATGAATAAATGATCTTTATTCAAATCGCGCTATGTATTAGCCGATCGGATAAAAGATACTTAGGAACATAATAAATACAAGCTTACGAAAAATATTTTTTTCTCTTATCACAACTAATATTAAAATAACTTTTAAACGCAGAACTCTATCGGTAAGAGCTAATAAGAGTCGCTGGTTATTCTTTCTCTTTTTTGAATATATCTTTCTTAAATGGCCTCAGCATTGAAAGCATTAATACCACAGGACGAATGAATGAATAAATAAATGAAATATCAGCATGCATGTAGTGTTTGCACATAATAAGTAGCTTTTTTGTGACAGAATTTATTACGGCTTTCGATATTTAGCTGAAATGTCAATGTAAATTCAAATCAAAATTCAAAATAATTTAAAAATGAGGAAGAGAAAACAAAAAATGCAAAATATTAAAAAGTGTACTCAATATATATAGTGCACCATTTTCTGAATCCTCTAGCTTGAATGACCACAAAACAGTGGTTGGAAAGTTGAGGTTGGACTTAGTCGTTGTACTTGGAGCCTTATTATGACCACCACTATCATCATCATACCAACACCATCATCATCACCCATCATCTTGCCTTCACCCTTAACTAATAATGATTTGCATCAATTGATTTAAAAGATTATCAAGCCAGGCTTTACAGCTGCAGCATCTACCAGAGCATTTCACAGCAGTCCATCCAACAGATCTTCCCTGGGCTTTCACCCTTGTCCAGCAGAACTAACAAAAGATGACAAAGTTAAGCCTATTGTTGTGTTATTTGGATGGCTGCTGGCGAAGAGCCGCCATTTAGAAAAATATGGCAGTATTTATCACAAACATGGAGCTGATGTTATGACTGTCAAACTGGAAGTGGCAGAGGTAAATGCATAAGATCAAGGCTCTAACTTAAATAAGTTCTGCCCCCAGGGAAGTTGTTTTAGGGTATCAATAAAAGAAATGAATTATTTATGTATTATTATTGCTGTTTTATTAAAGGTATTGAGACCAAAGAAGGCTGAACAGACGGCAGTTGACGTTCTTGACCGACTGACCACGTCACACACCCAAAAACGTCCATTACTAGTGCATGGCTTTTCCGTGGGTGGATACTTGTATAGCCAAGTACTAAACCAAATGGTTAACAATAGCAAGTACTCCCCTGTGATAGAGAGGATTCGCRGCCAGGTTTTTGATAGTCCTGTTGATTTCCAAGGGATTCCTCATGGGGTTTCAAATGCTGCACTTAAAAACCCAGTTCTGCGCTCACTTATGAAGAATACCATTAAAGGGTACCTCAAAGCAACAGAAAAATACACATCCAAGGTTTATATGGAGCGATCAGAACTGTTCCACAACAATCCTGTGCAGTCTCCCTCATTGTTTTTGTTCTCAAAGAGTGACGAAGTTAGTGATTCTGTAAGGTGCCAAGCTGTTGCTGACCACTGGAAAAACAGCCTTGGTATAGATGTGCAGTCAAAGTGCTGGGACAAATCTCCCCATGTCTCACATTTCTATGTCCACACAAATGACTACATTGATACAGTGAACAGTTTTGTTGATCAAGTCATGAAACCTCACAATCCACCATCTGTACAAAATCAATCTCAGTAATTAATGAAAAAATGACAATCTTGCGACTGGCCCTACCTTTCCCTCCAGACTCAGTAAAGGTGAGTGTTTTGGGATTCCTTTGGACGTGTGTAGATTGTAGCTGGAACCGAGTATGCAGGAATAAGGGAGAGGAATAGGAATCCCAAATCATTTGCCTTACTGTTGTTCTTTTCTAACAATAAACACTCAAGTTTGTCAACCAATCAGATTACAAATTGAATTCGAAAACAATAAAATTTGAGTTACATGTATTGAAAGTCTGTAAAAGCTATTTGAGGAGATGAAATAATATAAGAGAAAGAAAAAATAAAATTACATTAATTTTACACAAATAAAAAATGAAATAAAATAAACTAGTTGAGTGTTGACGGTTAGTAGAACGACTCACAGTACTTTAGAAATCAAGGGTGATGGTAGAACACTTGCCTCTCGCCTTCGAGTCTTGGATTCTATTCTTGGACTCGGCGTCATTTCAGTAGAGTTTGTTGCGACTCTTTCTTAATTCGAGAGTATTTTGTCTAGGTTCACTGTCGTTCCTACCTCTGCAAATTCCATTTCAATTTGTGAGTAAACTACAGTATGTCCCATCTTAGACCTATATTATCGATATATAATAATAACAATCATAACGAGAGGTTCTCATTTGGTGCATTTATACAACATCTCAATACGCTTTACATTTATGGTCAGTGGAGGACTTAACAGGCTGCATATTTTAATATAATATTGATAAAATAAATWAATTAAAATTTTGATATTTGAAAAGGCGTTATTAGCAGCCGTGCAGCTTATAATCATGAGTGATTTGTTAGTACATTAGTGTTAAGTAGGCCGTGCCCTGACTTTGATCAGCCCAGAGGTTGTTTCAGGCTTTGACAAAGTTGAAAGGTTTTTTTTAAACACTACATTAAGATCAATAAGATAGCGAATGGTAAAGCCATGACATATATAGCACTTAAATTATTTTAAACTGGATGAGTGAAGTGAAACAATTTCAGAAAGGAAAATTCAAACACAGAACTAAAATGTGACATTCAAAGTTGAATGAGAATTCCAGATTGTTATTTATCATGGCATCAAGTCATCATCTTGTAAAATATAAGCAGAACTAAATAAAGGATAAAAATGATATGGGGAAATGTTTGATTTTTTAATATTCATTTAAGTCAAGAGTGCCCATAACTCATGATTTCACAGAGCTCCACTGGAACACCAATATTCTACCCCCCCCCCCCCCCCAAAACAACAAAACAAGGCCTACCCTGAGTAACTGAGAAACCCCTCAATGTTTGCTCAGCTTATGTCACCAGAAAGGATTGCATATAGTGAATCATAGGAATATTTTTAATATAATTTTTTTACATCAAAAACCAAAGGGTATTTTGAACTGGAAGGCAAAATGGAATGCATAAACCATTACTACATCAGCATGATTCATAGTTTTCATTCATGTTTCTGGTCACCAGAAAACTCCAAATGGGGCACATTTTCTCATGTTTTGGCCTCCCTCAATCAAATATACAACAGGTTTTAGTAAATTTTTGATTGGCGCTGACATCTCTAAAGTTGCAATAGCAATCGGAGTAGCAATGGCTTGTTAGCATGATGGCATCATTTGACTCTCACTAACCAAATGTTTTGCAAATTTTCTTTCATATTATTTCTTATATTATTTCTTATTCTTTTATATTATTTCATATTCCTTGTGAGAATAGTAAGAAAACTGGTGGTAATTAACTGAACAAAATAAAGTGTGCGAGGGATTCTGGTAGATGAAGATAGTGCAACCATAATGCAAATGTCCTATTTTTAATGAAATTTGATAAACTCTTCCATCCAACATGGGTATCATCTCGCGTGACCATTCTTAATACAAACAGCTATGTACATATATTTTATATTACATTAACTTTTTTTTGTGTGTAGAAAAACAAAAAAATTAAGGTCAGCTGTTAGCTTTTTGGTTTGAGGTGGCGTTGCCCTTTCATTTTTGCCACATACTTTTTTACTAGTGAGCGAATTCTTTCTGGATCGATGGAATGGTCTGAGTTGGCAACCTGTAGCAACGAAGAAATAATTAATTCAGTTTCAAATAATTATAATTATAAGGGGAGGGGAGGGGAGGGGAGGAGAGGAGAGGAGAGGAGAGAAAGTAACTAATGTGTAACTAAAGAGAAAACAATGTGAAGAGAAAACAATGTGAAGAGAAAACTGTGAAGAAAAAAGGCAAGAGAAAAAATGGATGGGAAGAGAAATGAAGGGAAATTGAGAGGAAAGGAAGAGAGAAAAGAAAAGAAAAGTAACAAATTTCAAAAAAATCGTGAATAAAAAGGAAATAAACGGTTCTTGACAAAATTTGCCTTGCATGCAGTGGACGATATTTCTTGTTCTTTACGTACCTGGGGTACTGCTTTTCTCAGAATATCTTTGTATTCATTTTTATTGATTTCCCTGTGCTTGTAGTAATCCTTCAGGACTATCTTGACTTCGTCTTCAACACGCGCTTGTCTATGCAGCTTATCGATAAGCGACTGTGTCAATAAAATATACAAACTGATATGTAAACTTCACCTAATGAGAAGCACGCGTGGCGTAGCTGTGAGAGATCTYGCGTCTCATCATGTGACCCGGTTTCGAGTACCGCTGGGCTCGCTGTCGTATGTGAGTAGAGTTCCTATGTGGTTCTCTCCTGTGCTTCAAGGGTTCTCCGGGTTCTCCGGTTTTCTTCCCTCCACAAAAATTAACTCCTAAATACCAATTCGATYATGCAACGTGGGCCACAGGTCTGTTGGGCAATGGATATTAAGTGTTACCCTCGTAAAACAAGGACAGTTGAAGAAGAACAAAGCTAAGTATTTCTCTCAAGTAGGAGTCATAACAAAACGATTTGGCATCTATCTACCCAATGCTCCCTATTCTTCGTTTGGACGTTACATCATCTCGGCCATGTTGGTGGTATCAAAACAGGCTAATGCGAAATTTTTTGTTAAGTACCACCAACATGGCCTTGATGATGTAACGTCCAAGCGAAGAATATGAAACGATCGGTGTGTGCGTCCGTAGCGTTTAATTGACGGCATCTTTTGGACCAATCCGAGCGCGTGACAATACCGTTCATCCAATAAAAAATGCTCGGACACGTTACCGTCATGGTCATGGTGGTAAGGCACAAAAATGAGGACATCATTTGAACCAATCACAGCACCCATGAATACCGTTCATCCAATGAAAATGCTTGGACACGTAACCGTAAAGATCGCGTCACGAACGCTTCAGTCATATGAAGCTTTCTCCATCAAAAACCCTCACCAATAAACCTCCTCGGCTCTTGAGCGCTCGAGCGTAATGTTGATCCCATTTCAGACCACGTGTCATTCCCTTGAGAATAATATTCTTTGTTTGAGTCATATCCATATTCATGTGTCTTCTCATGTGCAACCGAGCGTATACCTTAAACAAAGAAATGATACTCTAGGGAATGACACGTGGTCTGAAATGGGACAATATTACGTCAGAGCCGAGGAGGTCTATAGGTCACACTGCCAACCATACTCACCTGAACTTTAGTTTTGGAATCCGAGTGTTTCTTGGTTTTATCTTTCTTCTTTTTCTGTTTCGGACTGGTGTTGGAGACAAAGTGCTCAGGGTCATACTCCTCTCGTTCATCCTGCACTTGCGTGCAAGTATCATACTGTGATTCAAGACTCTTTTCCTTGCGAACACTGTTGTCATCCTCTTTAGTTCCCTTTCTTTCATTTTCCCAAAACTCCTCATTCATTTTTTCGATAATATCCTCCTCAGGCGACGACATATCCATGTCTACTGGACTAGGCACCAACGCCTGCGCATGGTTGGTGTCAACCGCATCAGTTTTGACCCAAATGTTCGAGGGCTTTTCTTTCTCCTCAGGTAATATTTTTGGTCCTTCATCGTCAAGAAAGGGTATAACACTAGCAGAGGTTGGTAGCCCAAGCAAAGAAGACTGCTGAATATACGGTGAAGGTGCACTAGTGTTATCTTTTAAAGGTTCCTGATTAGGTCCTAAAGCAAACCCCTGTGGTACAACATTTTCAGTAAAAACCGTATGCGACTGATCAAGGGCAATTTGATTAGCAGACTGTGGTTGAGGACCAAACATATTTAGAGGAGCAGGGCATTGTTGGACACTTTGGGGTTGCTGATTAATCGGAGCACTGTTCATGGTCGTTCCTTGATCCGGAAAAGTTCTCACAAAGGGATTAACCACGGGCGGACAAACGAGATTACCCTTATTATGGGGTGGACCCCTTGGGAGATTTGAATTTGCAAGCTCATTCTGAGTTAATAAGTGAGGAGGAGGGGGAGGTATCTGAATGTTCATATTTGCAGCAGAATTTTGATTCGAGCGTTCGTTATTCATGACGCTTGCCACATCTTGATGGGAAATGCTTCCTGAAGTTGTATCCATTGCTTGATCGCTTCCAACAGTTTTATTATATACATCTATCCCTTTTGCATCATGCTGGTCTTCTGGTTCAACATTTGCCTTTTCAATACAGGGCTTGGTGTCTAATGACGCTGAAGATTCAAGGTTTTTTTCCCTTTCTAAATCAAGTGCATCTTCAATAGTTTTAATTCCTTCAGAAGTATCAGCTAATATTTCTTTTTCATCTGGCCTATTACTGTTCTTGGATGTTCGTACATTTTCTGAAGTCTCATTAGCTTCAAATTGTTTTCTATAAAAAAAGAGGAGATCAACAATGTCAATATGAAAAAAATGAATAAATGGAGCTTTGAAGAAATAACAACAAAAAAGAACAATGGCAGGTAGGCAAGCAAGGACTGCGGAAAGCAAGGAAGAAAGGAAAGAAGGAAAGTAGCAAGGGAAGAAGATGCAAGGCAGGCTGGAATACAGGAAGGTATGAAAAAAGGAACGAAAGATAGGAAGAAAATGTGCTAGCATTCATCAGTAATTCTCTCGGCCGTTTCCAGGAGTGTATTTATTCAGAAACTTAAACTAGTGCAGTCCTCCTTACCTTTCATCTTCTGAGTCCTCCTTTGTTACAACTTTTCCACTATTTCCATCTTTTGATATTCTATTCACGTGTTCTTCATCTTTAACTTCTTCTTTTCCTTCCTTTAATGAATCTGTATTATCAATAGTTTTATTAGTTCCCTGGACTAACCTCTCTTTTGAAGACTGTTTCTCAACCATAGAGGTTGCAAACGATCTTACTGTGTTCAAAATACTTGTGGAGTCCTCATTCGAATTGGTGTTGTAATCAGAAAGAACCTCCGTTGACGTTTGAGAACGCTTTTTAGGGGACCTCTCCCTTGAGGTGCTCCTTGACAAGGCACGCTTTTTGGGTGGTGCATTTGACTCTACACGAATCGGGGACCTTTCTTTTGAGGCATGTTTTCTTGAAGGTGACTTTTGGTCTCTTGGGGACCTCTCCCTTGAGATGCTCCTTGACAAGGCACGCTTTTTGGTTGGTGCATTTGACTTCTTTCTAGATCTTTGGGAGTCTCTTTTTCGCCTTTCACCCTTTTCCATTGATCTGCTTCTTGATCTTCCTCGAATTCTTGGCCGCTTCTCCTTTATTTCGTCATTGGACCCATCCGATGATTTGCTCTTAGATCTATACCGATTCTTTGATGTTTTGTCCACCGATCTGCTTCTGCTCAGGTGGTCCTCCTTTGTTTGCACACCCATTGATGTCCTCCCTGATTCACGACGATCCTTTGATGACTTGTCAACTGATCTGCTTCTGCTTCGACGGTGCTTTGATTTGCTTCTGGACCTTTTGCCATGCTTTCTAGACCGCCGGTCCTTTGATTTGCTTCGTGGACGTTGTCGAATCTCAGACGTTTGAAACTCTTCTGATTCTCTTGACCCGCTTCGACTAATCCTTGATTTCTGATGCTCCGAGTGTGAAGATGTTCTTGAACTCTCGTGGGAATGATGCCTGGAGAGTTTCCTTACATCTCTTTCGCTAGATTCACTTTTCTTTTTCTCCTCTTTCTCTTTGTATTCTTCACTTTGAGTACTGCTTTTTGAAAATCTACCAACACTTTGTGGGGACTCTCTACTTTCTTCCTCACGTGACCGATGTCTACGCTTCTTTTTACTTTTCTTGTGTTTTTCACCAAAGGACTTATCACTATGGTAACTTGTATTGTCACGCTTGACTTGGTCTTTGGCCTCAGCTGATGTGCTTGCACTGGACAATTGTCTGTGAAGCTCTCCCTCTTTAACCTCATTCGACTTGGAACTCCTTTCAGAAGACCGTCTTTTTGATTTATCAATTTGGCTGGTCTCCCAGTACCTTTGTGATGTAGAATCGTCTTTGGTACCCTGTTCACCTTTGCTAGACAAGGTGCTTACGTTGGATTTTACCTCATCTTTGATGCTCTCATTCGACTTGGAACTCCTTTCAGAAGACTGTATTGTAGAATGATCAACTTTACTGGTCTCCTTGTGCTTTTGTGATATAGGCTCTTCTTTAAAACCTGGTTCTCCTTTATCAGACAAGGTATTCGCATTGGCTGATGACACACATGTAACTATGGATGCAATTTTTCTCTTTTGGTGTGGCTTTGATTCCAGTGAATCTTTCACAATGGTTAAATATTTACTGCTGCTGGAGGGGACATCRGTGTCCATCTCTAAATTTGTAAAAAAATAAAAAATAAAATAAAAAAATAAATATTTTTCTTAACAGCTTGTTGGAGAAATATTTGCTGGGCTTGAAATATGTAAGCATAACAATTATTCATAATCATGACAGAAATATTTAAAAGCTACTTGACAACCAAAATAGACAAACAAAAACAAAACAAAACAAAAACAAAAATAAAAAACAAAAGACACACACAAAAAAAACATCAAATAGGAAACGACAAAATGCAATCACTGCAAAGCCAAACAGCAGTTATTACTAAAGAGCCAAAGCAAGCAAGGAACCATTCAAACATGGAAAGCCAATAAACAATGATAAGTATAATTTTAGACTTGAATATGGTAGTCCAATCAGAATTTGAGTTTTAATGGGTTATCATTTTGAATCCCAAGTCTGCGTACTCTCAGAAAGAATAATAATTTTTAATTTTCAATGTTTGAATGAAAATACATGTATCATGGAACCATTAGGGGGTAAGCTTGAACCATTCTGACAGTAAAACAAAATATTGTTTTCATTTGACGGCATAA